CGGGCGAGGCAGAAGACAGAGGGGAGACAGACCATAAATCAGCAGAAGAGCAAGATGACTTCCGACTGGCAACTCCTCCCAGAAAAAGGAACTCGGGGCAGGGGCCGGTGCTGCAGGGAGGAGTGGCAGCTTCCCGTGGGTGCTCCGAGGCTCTTTTCTTGGGAGGGATGTTTGAATTGAGACCCAGACTACGTGAGAGTGTGAGCTGGGGGAAAGGAGAGACTGCCCAAGGGACGTGGCCAATGTGGCTCAGTGGGAGAGCCCTGAGGCCCTGAGGAAATGGGGCGGGACAGAACTCAGCATCGTGTTTGTTGAAGGGAAGATGAGTTTGAGGTCAAGGAGTAATTCTGATGTCACCCTGGGCTCAGTGGGCCGTCTCCATCCAACATGGAGCCCAGGGTCTCCAGAGAGGACAGGGGGTGCTGTGGGGGTGCTGTAGCCAGGGGACAAAATCACCTCCGAGGAAACCAGAGGATGTTAAGGATCAGACGGGACGTCCAGGCTCCTCCACCCGCCCGCCCATGTCGTGTGTGAGCTGGCCCGGGACTCGGTGCCCCCTGAAGACCTCCAAAGGTCAAGGTCAAGCTGGCCCGGGACTCGGTGCCCCCTGAAGACCTCCAAAGGTCAAGGTCAAGCTGGCCCGGGACTTGGTGCCCCCTGAAGACCTCCAAAGGTCAAGGTCAAGCTGGCCCGGGACTCGGTGCCCCCTGAAGACCTCCAAAGGTCGGCTGAGGTGGCACTGATGGGGTCCTGGATGCACTATATGAAATGGACATTTACACTAAGGTAGAACAGCTTTCATGCGCGGACTCTGCTCCCGCTCCCTGCCCAGGGGTCCGCCGGGGTGCTCTGACCCAGTGTGGGGGAATGAGGACGCTCCCGGGGCAGGTGGCAGAACTAAATGGCGTCCACGGGCAGCCAGGGTGGTGGAGCGGGCACTGCCCCACAACAGAACCCCAGGCAGCCACTCCAAGGACGCGGTGGACTCGCCCCGTCTCCGTGGGGTTGTCATCAGAGGAGAAAGGAGGGAGCCTGGGGTTCGAGGTCAACCTCAGGAGGCCAGGGCCCGGAAGTGTTACTCKGGTGCTGCTCCCTTCACGCGGAAACCGGAGGGGGAGGGAATTAAACGTTCCTCCTAACGAGCGTCTCTGGAAGGCTGCGTGGGAAACTGGAGGGTGGTGACCTCGAGGAAGGGACTGGGGGACTGGCCAGGGGAGGTGGTGGGGCCAGGAGACTCACTTGCATYGAGACGCAGGAGTAAAGAGACACTTTTATTCCCTCTTACAGACTGGTGGTGTCTTCTCAATTTATAAGTGATTTCTCCCGCAGTTTGGGGTCAGGTCACCAGCAGTGTCCTGGGTTGACAGTTCTGTCACTGRTCTGCACCCCGGCTCTTTGTGTTTGTTTATTTATTGACTTACTTACTGGAGCGCTGAGTTCCAGATGTGATCCTGGGAGAATTCTAAGTGGGTGACGTCGACTTCTCTGTGCCCTGATTTTCGCGGGCACCCAATGGTCCAAAACCATCTCAAGTCCCCCTTCCACATATGGACCCCAGCCCTCCCCTTAGGCTGGACTCAGACCTTACTTGACCTCTAATAAGAACTTACCCCTTTCTCTGCAGGAACCTATTCCTGGTGTCTGAGATTTCCAACCAAAATCATTCCCAGGGGTCAAGGCAGTRCCTCCCAGCATCCAGCATTTGAGAACCACCCTCAGGGTTTTTGCTAACACTGAGGTCCCCCTCTTTTTATTAACATAATATTTTTCTTTAATGACTCACTTTAAAACTTGAATAAAATTGTTTTGAAGTGTCACTTTATATCATTACTATAAACCTATTACTATAAAAAGAAAGAACCTTGAAAATAAATACAATAAACTAAAAAATGTTATCAAATTCTAGTTACAAACTATGGTCTAACAAAGCTCTGTCTTTTCTTTTGAAAAAACAAGATTGGTGTGACAGACAGACTGGCACTGTTTCTTGGTGTAGTCAGGAGCATTGGGAGGGGACTTTCTCATCGTGTGCTTGAATGCCCCCTGTCAATGCACCATTCAGGATAATCCTTGTAACATTTGGATTTCATGCTTGGGGAAAGAGTGGGTTAAAGCCTCTTTTCCTTTTCTAGAAAGTTTTGGTTTTATGTCCATATGCTTTTGTGTTGTCTAAGCTGGACAGTGTATAAAGCTATCATCATCCAGGAGTTTATGGCCAGAAGAACTTGGCCTTTTGACATTCCAGCCCATATTTAAGTGACATGGCCTTTAGATGGTTTGTGAGCTTTTTTCCAAGGGTCAGAAATGCATCTATTTGGAGGCAGCGTACGATGGCAACTGGGAATGACGCAGGCYTGAACAAAGGGGAATTTGTCCATTTGAAAAGAATTGGAAGAATCTCTGAGCTGGCTCACTGGGTCCTTCCAACTGGTGGTGCACAGCATGGCCGGGGCCTCCCAGACCCAGGGGGCAGCCACGTAGCTCCTGGCTCATTCCGGAGAGTCCTGGGTCTCTGGGAGTAGCCCCTGTGTGAGTCCAGGAGCCTCAGTGAGTTCCAGGAGGGGGTAACAGAGGGAGAGTGGTCATGGTCCGAGGGAAGAGCTGGCAGAGAGGCGGTGGGGGGGCTCCCGCAGTGGTTCCTGCATGTTCACCGGAGAAGGGAGAGAAAGGTAGCCAGAGAAGGGCCGTCTTAAATGACCCTATTTTGGAAATGAAAGTTCCATGGAGAGGGTCTTTGCGTGGTCTCAGAAGAGCTCCCCATCTTTCAACAGGCATGAACCCTGAAACATGCTGAATGAGAGAAGAGGCCACATATCGTGACTCCATTTATATGAAATGTCCACAGCAAGCAGATCCTTAGAGACAGAAAGCAGAGTGGGAGGGGAAAAGGAGGAGTGACTGCTTAAAAGGTGCCAAGTTTCCGTTAGGATGATGAATGTTCTAGAACCGGAGGGGGTGATGGATTACTAAGCATCACTAAGGGCAGGTTTTATAATGTGTGTGTTTTACCACAAAAAAAAAATTATCTCCCCCTGAAATGACTGTTGAATTACAAAAGAAAATGTGCAATGAGTGATCACAACCAACCAGAGTCGGCACCATCTATCATGAGCCCGTCTGACACCGTGCTCCCTGGTGGGGTACACAGGGGACATTGCCTATGAAGTGTCTGTCCTGCCAGGAAAACAACCCCACGGACCATGGGGACACCTCAAAGGCACGTTCGCCAGGCATTTTCCATGACAATGGCCAGCAGTCTTCTATCGCTGTCATGAGAAGAAAAGAAAGTACCATTCCAGCCTAAAGGAGACTAAAGAGTCTTGAGGGCAAAATGCAACCCACCATCTTAGACTGGATCCTGGGCCAGGAAAAGAAGCTACATGAAATATTATTGGGATAATTAGAGAAGTCTGAATAGACTGTGAGGTAACAGCGTTGTATCATGTTAAATTTCATAGTTGTGGTYATCGTACTGTGGCTATCTGAGAAAATGGACTCGCTTTTTAATTTTTTTAATTTTTAGTTGTTGATGAACCTTCATTTTTATTCATTTTTATGTGGATTGAATCCACTTGGGAGGCAAGTGCTCCACCACTGAGCCACGATCCCAGCCCCTGGACTTGTTTTTTTTTTTTTTTTTCATTTGTATAATTTGTTTTATTGGACTTGCTTTTGAGAACTGCACTGAAGTATTTAGAGAAAGAGGTTTGGTTTAGACAAGTGGTGGGCAAAAAAATATGTGTGTGTACATGYACATATGTTTTATTCCATTTAAAATCGGGCAAAAATTTTATCATGGTCAAAGCAAGGTCTGATTTTTAACTATTTTTAATTGATCTTATGTTCTATCAGATTTGATAATAGAATCTGATTACAAATTACAGGAATGAAAGAAGAATGACCCCTGTTGATTTTGGGGTTGACGTGACATCTTCACTTGACATTTGGCTTTTGTTGAGCAAGCCGATGGTCATGTTTGTAAAACTGTTCAGACTTCGTCAACATTCCCCAGTGGGACTTTTAACCCCTGATATGGAAATCRCTCTTTTCAATGCGCTCTCCCCACATCACCTAGGTTTATTTTCCCCGTCTTTTATCGTGAACCAGCCCAGCTCCRACGACAAGTTCTCACGCGTTACGGCCTTTGGTCCCCTTTGAGAAGGATCCAGTGTCGCCTGTGGGTTGAGAACAGCCCGAGGTCTTTTGCCAGGTCTCCAATTTCGTTTTGCAATCACTTCCTGTTGTATATTATTCAGATTGTCTTACCAGATTTAAAAAAAAAAAAAAGCCACCCTGGGATCTCAGTGGCTTAACATTCAAAGGCTTATTTCTCAGCCGCAGTCCCTGTCCAGGGTGTGAGGCTTCAGCACACCACAGCTGCGCTGTCCCCAGCTACTCCCTGGGGGAGGGAGCACAGAGGCTTCCCACAGAAATGACCTTTGGCCCCAACCTAGCTGCAAAGGAGTCTGGGAAATGTAGTCTCCTGGTGTGCTCAGAGAGAGGGAAGAGAAATGGCAGCTGTGGGTCACACAGGGCTTTTGTATGTTACGGGCCAATGTTGTTCAAATGGTATTAAGAGGAGGGATGTCTGAGTGGGGACTGATTTCAGAAGTGGCCAGATCCTCAAGGACTATTTTCCTACCGCGATCATTCTGCTTTTTCCTAAGCAGGGCCTGTGGGAGTGAGTGCTCACCGAGTTTCTGGGACAGAGGGGTGGGGAACAGCGTTTAACACGCAGAGCCCCTCCTGCCTGACCTGTGCCGCGGTCGGCTCAGCCGCAGCTGAAGCACCCTTCAGAATTAGAGATTCTGACTGGTCCCCGCCTCCCTGTGGCACCAGGAACTCTCTGCTGCTGGGTCTAACAGGGGACAGCTCCTCCTGCCACCTTTGGTCCAGTGTACCCCGGGCGAGGAAAGATGACAGAACTGGCTTGATTGTCCTAAGACCCCACTGAACTGTATTGCTGCGTGACAAATCTGAATCTGTCCCCCCCTCCTTAGCGCACCCTGCTTGGGCTTCKCCGTGACCCTTGGCCGCCCGCCTGCCCTGCTCGGCCACCATGCTGGTGCTCCTTGCCTTCATCATCATCTTCCACATCACCTCCGCAGCCCTGCTGTTTGTGGCCACCATCGACAACGTAAGTCCCCTCCCCGCCCGCTTGGAGCCCGGGCCAACATCCAGTGCCCTCAGTGCTCTGAGGCCCCCGGTGCCCTCCGTTGGCTTGATGGCAGTTTGGAGGCGTCCTCCCTGCCCCGTGGCCCCGAGCCCAGGCATGGAGACTCTGGCCTCAGCATGGGGCTTCTGGAGCATCCATGTTCAGGTTTGATTGGCAGGGCCTGGAGGACACGACCCCGTTCTCTCCTCGATTCCCCCTTGGCCCTGCTGAGCCTTTGCAGAGGTCCTGGGAATTCGGATCTCCTGCGGACCCGGTTCCGTTCAGCACTGCCGGGGCTTTCCTGTGTGTTGTGCCTGGCTTAGCAACATCCCRGCCTCTGTCTGGATGCCAGCAGCACCTCTGCCCTTACTTGGAACAATTGAAAATGTCCTAGTAGGAGGTGCAAGGAGGCGCCTCTCTGACCGCCGTTTTCCTGTCTCGCTGCAGGCCTGGTGGGTGGGAGAGGATTTCTATGCCGACGTCTGGAGAGTGTGCACAAATGGCACCAACTGTACGGAAATCGGTGACCACTTTGAAGGTGAGCGTGGATGGTGGGAGCTGGCCCAGGAGGCACAGTGGAGAGGAACCTGTGCCCCTGCGGAGGCCGGCCAGGGGGTCTGCTCACGCCCAGCACAGGGGGAGGGGGACCCGCCCTGCTGAGCTGGGCCTCTCCTCTTCTGCTTCCCGCCTTCCCYTTCCTGCAGCCTCAGCCCGTCTTGGTCCCCTCTGCCTCTTCCTGGTCCACGCCTGGCCCCGTCCCCTGTCGCAGCCACCCACTGTGGCAGAAACCCAGAGCACTTCTGCCCCTTGGGCCGGTCACCGGTGTTCGAGGACCCCAGTGCCCTCAGCCACCCTCACCTCTGTGTATGCATGGGATTAAACTCGGGACTCCACCCCCGAGCTACAGCCTGGGCCTTTTTATTTTGCATTTTGAGACAAGGTCTTGCCAAGTTGCTGAGGCTCACCTTGAACTTGTGATCCTGCTGCCTCAGCCCCCTCCCTGTCACTGGGCTAACAGGGGCGGGCCACCACACCCGCTACACGTCCGTTTAAATGAGCTCAAATATGAAAAAGGGCTTTGGAGATACAGAAAACTACATTTTAAAATTTAATTCTGTGGTGTTGGGATTGAATCCAGGCCCTGGTGCATACGAAGCATACCCCCCAGCGCTGAGCTGCACCCCCACCCTGAAAACCGCACCCCAGCCGCCGTCTCTCACTCATTGTGAAGGGCAGCTGTCCCGGTAGAACCAAGTCAAGATGYGCTTTGGGATCCCCCGTATCTGACAAAATACGGGACGCCCTGTTACGTCGGTGTTTCAGATAAACAGTGAATMMTTTTTTCTTATGAGCATGTCCCACGTATGACATGAGACAGTCTCAGCCTAGGATCAGTCACTGTTTATCGACACTCAGGTTCACCTGGGCACCCTCTTTTGGTGCTGACAACTGATTTCTGGTTTGGGAGCAGGGGATGCTTCTCTCTGGGTCCCAGGGTCTCACTGTGCACGAAGAGCAGCATCAAGGGCTGGGGCTGGGGCTCCGTGGTGAAGTGCTTGCCTGGGGACAGCACCCACGTTCACATCACTGCAGCAGAGATACCAGTGGCCGGCGTGGTTCCCCAGCTCCGCCCCGAGCAGGGCCTGAGCCCTTTATGCACAGCCTCGCCAGGCGGGAACCATAGGGAAACTGAGGCCGAGAACAGTTGTGTTGCCGGAAGTGGCCCAGCCTGAAGCAGTCGATGGAGCCGGGACTCCTTCTAGACATGACCATGACCAACAGCCAACCACACGGAGCCGTCAGTGCCACCTCTCTCCCGCTCTGTTTGTCACGCTGAACCTCAGCACAGGGACCGCCATTCTTCCTACCTGGCAAACCCAGTTGTGGCCAGTGTGTGCCCACGTCCCAAGCAAGCCTGTGTCACTTGCTGGTCTGTCACAGCCTGTGGGACCACTTGCTGTGGTTGTCCCTAAGGCAGTGGTCAGGGAACTGCTGGCCAAGCTCAGCTGAGGCCGGTTTTGGAGTGGCCCTCAGAGCTGAGATGGGTTCTTACATTTGTAAAGAGCAGTTAAAAAGAACAAGAACCCCAAACCAGAACAGAACAGAGAAYAAGGTCCGCGAGCCGGCGGGCTTCACTGTCTGGCTCCTGCTTCATGAGGGCCCACTTTGTCACCCAGGGCGCTTTCTGTCTCTGCCCCTGACCCAGCCAGCATCACCCACAGGAGCCGGAAAAGGCTGCCCTGAAAACCAGAGGGAATCCAGCCGGCCGACACCCTCCCTCTGCAAGCTCTGAGCCGGCGTCTGGTTCTTTCTGGTTCAAACCAGAATAAAACCCAGCCCCACCCCAGGTCCCTAGTAGCTGCAGGGCCCTGGGGCCAGGACCCTTGAGCACAGCATGGCTTGCAGATGCCCAGGTCCCCTCTATAAAGTGGCGCTGTCTGCAGAGATGTCACCTGCACACGGCCTCCTGCGCTTCAGGTCACCTCTGGATTCCTTGAGACCTGAGTCGGTGCCCGCGGGTCACCTGGTTGGTGTGGGCTCCGCGTGGTGCCAGGGCCAGGCAGGTCCAAGGCTGGCCCTCTGACGCCCTCGGGCTGTTTTTCCTGAGTACTCTCCACCTGTGGTTGTCGGGTCCCCGTCCAGAGGACTCTGTCTGTCCGAGGCCTGTCCTCCCGGCACCGGAACCTCTCACCAAAAGTGTTAAACCTGGTCTCAGAGAAAGGATCCCCCTCTTTTCCCTCGTGGGGATCCCGATGCTCGTCCTCTCTCGGGTGCCTCGGGGGCACACTGGGTCCTCGGAGCGCTGTCAGGAGCTCCTTACGCAGTCCCCGGGCCCGAAGAGCACCCTCCCAGGCCCCGGCCTGGCCTCTTGAATCGCATCGTCCAGGGTGATGTGACGATGGCACTTTAAGCCCCCTGCGAGCCGCAGGTGGGAGCCGTGCCCCAGCCCGGGGCCTGCACAGGGGCTCCTCCTCCACCTCCCAGATAAGGGCGTCGGGGCCTCCCGTCAGGGGTGCGTCGGGTGCGTGTGGCTGTCGGGGAGGGGTCGGGGGGCTCCCTGCTGCCCCTGGGCCCAGATGCCCAGGCGCATCCTGGGAGACGGCTGGGCGGCTCTCTTGGTGGCTGTGGGTCGCGTCCTCAGCCTGGCCCTCGGCCTCTGCCCACAGGCTACGCCACGCTGCAGGCGGTGCAGGCCGCCATGATCCTGTCCACCACCCTCTGCTGCATCGCCTTCYTCATCTTCCTGCTCCAGCTCTTCCGCCTCAAGCAGGGAGCGAGGTTCGTGCTGACCTCCATCATCCAGCTGCTGTCGTGTGAGTGAGGGCGGGCAGCGGTCCCCTCCGGTCCCCGGGGCAGTGTGTATGGAGAGCGTGGTTAGTTGGGGTCAGGGAAGGCCCCCCAAAGGCACTAAGTTGAGCGGGGGCCTGTCAGGGTGCAGGAGCCGTTGTCACCCCTGTGCTGTGTTGGGGCAGCTGGGAGGGGACAGCRCGCTGGCCGGGGAGCAGTGTGGCCAGTGGGGAGGGGAGGTGTGGGAGGTGGGCCAGCGGGGGTCCAGACCCGTGGGGTCCTGTAGGCCATGGACAGCACTTGGGGTCTTCATCCTAAGCTGGCGGGAGCCACCAGCAGAGTTYAGGCTGGTCGGTGGCAGAAGTGCCCACCTTGGGCCAAGCCCCTGCTGCCCGCTGGAGGTAAGAGGTGACCGCCTGGTCCCKGTCCTGGAGGAACTTAGAGAAGGTGGAGGGCGCACAGCACTTCTTGTACCTATGAAGTTTAGCAAGACAGAAAGTGGATGGAGACGTCCACTCCACGACGTGACCATTCATTGTTATAAGCTGCCCAGAGGAGTCTGGGCCCTGGATGGACAGTCCCACAAAGACAGCCTGGCCGGACCAGGGCAGGGTCCTAAGGACAATCAGGGAGCTTAGCCTCCCRTTGGCACTGACCTCTGTGAATGTCATCAAGTGTTCAGCCACGATTCTGTGGCTGTGCCTGAGAGAAAGTCCAATTATCAGTGACTTTAGCCATAAAGACAGTCATAACAGTAGCCCGTAGGTTCCAAGTGCCAGAGCTGGTTTGATGGCTCACAGCATCAAGCACCCCGTCTCTTCCCATCCTTCTAGTCTGTCACCTTCAGACTGTGAGTGACAGCCTCTTCATGGCCCCCAAAGGGCTACTGTGAGTCCAGACACTTCATCCTGATCTAACAGTATCTAAGGCATTCAGCAGGGGAGAAGGAAAACAATCACAATATGCTTTTCCCTCCTTCATCTCTTCTCAGGGGCTAACATCTTTCACTGATGAATTTTCTCTGGCCAGAACTAGGGTCACATACAGTTGTGTCCATGAACTTTAGCTAGTGAACTGGGGTGACAGATAATCTGGCCTGCCCTGTGTCTGTGTAAATAAAGTTTTATTGGAACACAGCCACTCCCGTTTTTTAATGTGCTCTCCCTGGCTGCCATTATGCTCCGGCCAGAGTCGAGCAGTGGTGACTCCTCCAGCCCTTGAAAGCCTGAACTATTTACTTCGTGGCCCTTTGCAGGACAAGTTTGCTGGCCTCTGGCTTAGACCAAGAGTGACGTGACCTCTGGACTGGGTTCTTGGCTGCCCACACAAAACAGGTTCCAGCTAGTAAGCAATGTGGCTTTAGGGTAGACGGCAATATTGTGCTGTGAGCCAGGCAGGTGGCGCATTCAGGAGGCTGAGGCAGGAGGATCGCAAGCTCAAGGCCAGCCTCAGCAACTTAGCAAGACCCTGTCGAAATAGAAATATGAAAAGGGATGGGGATGAGGCTCATCCCTCCTGTGCGCAGCTCCYGCGGCTCCCGGAGCGCGGTGGACGTGGTTCACGGAGCCCCCGCTTTCTTTCTGGCAGGTCTGTGTGTGATGATCGCGGCGGCCATCTACACAGACCGGCACCAGGACCTCCACGACAGCAACCCGCATTACTACTCCCTGACGTCGGAGGGCAGGTACGGCTACGCCTTCATCCTGGCCTGGGTGGCCTTCGCCTTCACCTTCATCAGCGGCATCATGTACCTGATTCTGAGGAAGCGCAAGTAGCCCCAGGCGCCCGCACCCTCCCTGCACCTCAGAGTCCACACTCAGATAACCGTTTTGTAGATAATCGTTTTTTTGTGGTTTTTCTAGCAAACATATTGTTTCCTTTAAAAGCCAAAAAAAGAAAAAAAAAAAGAGAGAGAGAGAGAGAGGGAGAGAGAGAGAAGCGTTTTTGCATTCTTGGGATGAGAGAGGAGACTGGCATTCCGACTGGCATTCAGAACTGCTGCCCACCCAAAAGCCCGAGCAAGACAAAGGCCCATCCAGCTGCGGGGACCAGGAAAGGTGGCGGGTGCTTCTGAAGCGGGGCAGGGAGGGGTGTCGTGAGGGAGGAGGCAGCCTCCTCAGCTTCCTCCCAAAAGGGCCAGGCGGGGGGCGACCTTAACGTTGAGCCCGAGCCCCCGGTTCTGTCTGTGGTGAGCCGCCCCCGCCTCCTGGAGCAGGCTGGGCCGCAGCCCAGAGCTGCTGACAGCGTCTCTGCTTGCCTCAGGGACAGGGGTCCGGAACTGGGTGTCAGATTAAGGCAAAGAATCGCTGCAGAAAGTTCCTTAGGGCATCTTCAAATGCAGACTGGGGACGCCCCAGCCCGGCAGAGCCAGCGTCCAGCAGACGGCCTGCCAGCTGCATTTCTAGTGGGCTCCAGAGCCGGGTGGCAGAGCCTCTTGGACGTGTCAGTGGCCTGGTCATGTCAGATGGCCCCACCGAGGCCAGACCTCAGCCCCCGGCCCCTCTTGGTTCTCACCCTGGGCCACGGAGCTCCTCTCCCAGCCCCAACACCTCTAGAGGCTGTGCAGCCTCTTCCCCAGCCTCCCTTCCTGTCCTGCATTCTGAGGCTGGCGAGCCTCCCCGACCCCTGCCTGGAGCTCAGAGGACCCGCCACTGTTGGGTCCTTCATTCATGCGTTCGTCCACATAAGTGACAGCACGCTTGGCACGCGGCAGGCGCAGGGGACTCACAGGGTCGTCATCTGGTGGAGCCGGTTACAGGCCGTGACGGAGCGGCAGACGACTGAGGAGCTCGGTGCCCACCTGTCCTGACAGCCCCGGGCGGTCAGCTCCCTCTGAACATAGCGCCCCTTGACTCCGACACGTGGGGCTCTGCCCAGTACCTGTCTGCGTTGTGGCCGGAGGACTCTTCCATGGAGGGTCGGGGTCCCCAGCCAGCAAGGGGCGCATCCCCCAGGGCCATAGTCCCCAGGCTTCCAGGGCAGGGGGCGGGGAGTGAGCCCTCCTGGTGATTCCGAGCGCGTCCTGGGGTCGTCATGGAGCACGTCCCAGGCAGGAGCCCAACCTCGTACCTCAGCCTCCTCCTCCTCTTGTGTTTGAGCACCCCCCCCCCCGGGAGGTGACCCTGGGGTGGCCTAGGGGATCGAGGGCTGTTTAAATACCTTGGCCCTGACCGGGTGGTCTGCCATCAGCCCAGCGGAGGTGGAGCCGGGGAGACGTCCCGAGTGAGCACCTTCAGGGTCACCCAGGTCCCTTCTGTGCAGAGCAGCGTCTCCACTCATTCGCGGGTTTCCACAGTTGGACTAAGTGCTTCCTGTGTTCCAGGCCCGGGGGGCTCCCGGGTGGAGTTTGCCGTCTCTGAAGCAGGACCCACTCTCTGTGGAGGGGTCACCGTCAGCCAGTGCCACGGGCCAGAGACAGGACGATGTCCCCTGCTGACCCCACGGAAAAGGGTCACCAGGCTCACCGTGGGCAAGGACGCGAGCCGCACCCCTGGGGGCGGCAGGATGCTGGAGGAGGAGGCTGGGTCTGGGCGCCCTCCCCTAGGCTTCCTCCCCAGGTGGCTTTTCTAGAACTTTCTGATATTCACAACATAAAGAATCAGAATTCCTTAGAASCAGAGCTGTAGAAGGCCCAACCCCCATGCAAGGCATGAATCCCCCCACAAAATAACTCTGGGGCCACAGAGTGCCTGTCACCCCTGATCTGGAGCAGCCCGGGGTCTCTGTGACACGACTGTGGTGAGGCGTGTGGGAAGTCGGGAGGGTGCGGGCGGCTGCCCCTYGTCCTCCCGCAGGTAGACAAACCCACCTGGTGCTCCTCGTCATTGGCTCAGAACCACCACCAAATTAGCTGGACATCCAAGAAGCAAATAYCAGGACCAAATCTGCTCCTGTGTTGGAAGGAATGTAGTCTGCGCATCTTATGACGTTTTTATAAAGTACTGTAATTCTTTCATGGGGGGCACGTGATGGGGACAGACTAACTTGTTTTGTTATTTGCATTAAAATTATTTTGGGTCTCTGTTCAAACGAGTTTGGAGCTTGCTTGGTGCGTCACCCTGCGGGACGTCTGAATGCAGGAGAGTGGGGCTCCCTGTRCCCGCCCCCTGCCGCGGGTCGTGCCTGTGTGTGGCCAGGCTGACCCAAGGATGCCCCGCCGTACCCCACGGTGAAGACCCAAGGCGGCGGCCTCCTGCGTGGGGAGTCCATCACTAAACTCGCTGATAATTTACAGGTTACTCACCAAAGAGCACCTCGGGCCATTTTGTCCATGGGAAGGCGCCGGTGATGGGGAGGTTCCAGGGGAAGGCTGAGAGGTTACTGAAGAAGCTTGCTTTGGGGACACATGTGAATTTAGGGCAGTTAGAGACTTTCTGCTTACTGTGCCTTTAAAATAGTCCATTTTCTATGTTTTGTATAATCTGAAACTGTGCGTGAAAAATAAAATTTAAAACGAATTGCTCAGAGCCACAGACTCGGATGTTCCCTGGTGTGATGATATCTAGGGTCAAGATGCCGCCTCGGAGCGGCGGGGTCGGTGGGTGTCTCCTGAAGGTGAGAGCGCTGGGCTTCTTACAGCAAGCCGCTGATGACAGACGGCCATCAGGAGGTCACCTCCACTCCTCCTGCTCTCTCAGGGCTGGCGTGGTGGCCACCTCTGCAGGGCACAGGATCCCACGCCCCTGCCTGGCGGGTGATCTCCAGCACCGTCTTGAGCAAGTGGGAAATACATGATGGGTCCTGTTCTCTAGTTTACGTTAATAAAGACCTTGGCTTTAAAGGGTGGGTCAGGATGGAGATCAGATCATCGCGCCAGAGCACRCTCTGCCGAAAGCTGCAGGGTCCAGCCCGAGAGACCAAGGGCGCGTGCACAGGGCCTTTCATGTCCTTCCTCGCTCTCCCCCCCTCCACCTCCAAGATCTCTGTAATCTTTAAGGGAAGCCAAAGGCAGCCAGAGCGCTGTCTCTGGGGGACCCCTGTTTCCTGGCCTCCACATGGCTGTGACCTGAAGTTCCCAGGGGGATACTGTCCACGTTCTTTGTTTCTGTCTTCTGCTGCTGGCTGGGACCCAGAGCCTCCAGCACGCGGAGCCGCGCCCACCTCTGAGACACACCGTGCCCTGGTTTATCTGGTGTTGGTTTTGTTTTCTTGGATGCATGTGGCAGATGGGTGCTGGTCCCTGCAGAAGCCTGAGTTTCATGCCTCTGTCATTCATTCACCAAGTATGTGTGTAGCTGTGTGGATGCGCACTGCGCTGGGCGCTAGGTGCTTCATGACAACCCTGGTCTCTGGCCTGATCTCCACGTCTGACTGAGACTCAACTCCAGCACCCAGAGCTAGTGTCTGGTGGCTGCGCCCGGCTCCTGTTCCTTCTCCGTCGCTCCCACACTTGGCCGGAGCCGGGAGTGAGACCCACTCTATCAACCCGAGGCCAGAGATGGAGGGAGGGAAACCTGTGGGAGGAGCCTGCCACGGCCTTTCACAGGGGACGTCCCGTGTGCTGATCTTATCCAGGACACAGACGAGAGCCCGACTGGCCGGATCTGCCTGGCCCGCCTGTTTCTTTGACCCATGAACTGGACATGGCCTTTGCATTTCTAAGTGGTTGGGGGAAGGTGAAAAGAAGAGTGCTTGGTGCCTGTGGAAGGGTCTGAAGTTCTGATTTCAGTGTCCATAAAGTGTTATTGGAAACAGCCACGCCCACTTGTGCTGAGCGTGCGTGCTGGGGCCTGCCCGCCTGGGTGGGCGAGTTGCTCTAGCAACCACATGGCCTAACAGGCCGAAAATCCTGCCTGGACCTTCCCAGAGCTTCCCTGACCCTTGAGTTGAATTCACCTGTCCTTCAAAGCTTCCCGTCATGAGGTCACGAATCTGCAGCAATGAAGATGGCGGGTCCCAGGCAGAAATGGCTCAGCAAAGCCACATTCTGTTTCCGTTTTGCTTAATAGCGAACCACTGGGWCCAAGATCTGCTCCTTGTAGGATCTCTGCTGTGTTTTCACAATTTCTCCTGATGCAACGACACCCACAAGTTCATGGTGGGTATAAAATAAAAAGGGAAAGCTAAGCCAAGTCAAAACCTCCACCYGGGGCCAGGCCCAGCCCACCACCTGGTCCTGTGGATGGAGTCCCTTCAGGACACACCCACACCTGCTCACTTCCACAGTGTTCACGGTTCCGGAGAGGAGACAGAGTGTGTGAGCCACAAAACCTCAAATACCCCAGACAGCACAGGAGCAGGAGACACCACTGCCCCTGATGGTGGTGTCTGGGACTCGGCGTTGACACCCATCCCCGTCCACCTCCTCAGACCTGCAGCCCATGAAGGCTCCTGGGAGTTAGTCTTTGTTAATTTAACCCGTTACCAGAACACCGCTAGGTGATTTTTAAGGATCTCAGTTTATCAATTCTGAGTCATGTGATCTTTGTGCCTTTTTTGGTGACTGTTCAAGAGAGACTTACAGTTTAGGACAGGACCTCGGCGTGAGTCCACTGCACAGTGTGCCCTCTGTGTTGGTGAGTTTTGAGTCCTGGAATCTGTCGATAATGATGGAGAATATTCAGAAACAACAATCGCATCTGTACTAAACATGCTGGGCTTTTTCTTCTTGTCATTACTTCCTAAACAAAGTAGTATAACAACTGATTTCCCGGTGTTCAGTGCTGTGAGCATCTAGAGAGGAGTCGAGGCCTGCAGGTGGCTGTGCACAGGCTGTATGCAAGCACGGTGCCATTTCCTACGTGGGAACCGTCCCCCAGGTACCAAGGGACAACGGTACTCACAGGAGAAAAGGTGTTTCCGGTACCAACTCCCTTTGAAGTCACTGTAAGTAGACAACATCGTGGAGAGTACATCTCACCATCTTCTTTAGAATTTCTTCCTTGTAGCAACTCACACTGACCCCTGGGGACACGACGACATTCCAGCTGAGAGTCCTCTGGTCTTCAGCGTGGCTSGCCTCTCCCCACCGGACGTCAATGGCACATCCCCTGCCACACTTGTGGCCACCCAAACTGTCCCCAGGGTGGATGAGTGCCAGGACTCCTGTGCCCCCAATGAGGGGGCCCTCGGGGGCTGGTGGCACTGGGCAGCCAACGGCTCTCATCCCCAGGGAACAACAGGAGGAAGGTGCACAGCGTCCCCAGCGATGGCCCTGGGCATCTGAACCCGGGAGAAGGGCCCGGGTTTCCCCATCCCACGCTGAAGGGGCCAGGGGACCAGGAAGAGGCTGCTCCGTGTTYGGGAAGTGTCCTTTCAGCGGGGGTGTGGACACAGGTGGGCCGCTTCACCAGCAGATTTGGGGCCGGGGCAGGAGGAGCAGGTGAATTGCCACCACCTGSCGCTGCCTCATCAGGTAGGAGGCGTGCCACTAAGGTAGAGCCTGGCAGGAGAGCTGGCCCCAGGCTGGGGTATTTCTGAAGCCCTCCTCTCTCCCGTGCCCTGTCTACCAGCCTCAGACCATGATCTTCCAGCCCGAGAAGAGAACCCTGAAAGCCAGAAACTTCAGACCAGGTGTGGACCTTAAGGAGCTGTCCTCCCAGAACCTCAGGACCTCCACTCCCTGGCAAATCCTGCCCACTAAGCTGCCTCTCCATTGTGTTGGGGAAATGCCTAGCAAATGTGGCCCCATAATTTCCTGCTGTGTGACCTGAGACAAATTACATGGCTTCTCTGGGCCTCAGCTTCCTGGATCACCATGGCAGCATCTGCAGGGGCAGTCCGCCCGTGCTCACGGAAGGCTGTTCATCTTTCATCACTGGCAAGTCCCCTACGGGTAAGTGGCAGATTCCAGGCTAAGACTTGGATTTGCTGACTTCAGATCCTGGGTTTCCACATGGCCACACGCTGGAACCACTGGGAAGCTCGCAATTCCCAGGTTCCAGAGGTGAGATTGGATTTGTCTGGGAAGCAGCTTGGGCAACAGAGCTGTGAAGTGAGATTCAGGTGGTTCTAACACACAGCCGGCATGGAGAGCCCGTCCCACTCCACGTTCCAACCTGAGGACAGTCCAGTGAGTCAGGGGCGGGCCGCGTCTCCCCTCCGGGCCTGGTTCCTGCAGTGGGCACAACGTCCTCCAGGTCAGCCCGTGGCAGCTGGTGTCGGACCCCCTTGTTCTTGTGGCTGCGAACATCCCATCGCAGGGATGGACCCCATTCTCTCCGCCCACCTTCGATGCACAGGTAGGTCATTTCCGCCTCCGACTGCACTTACACAAAGGTGTGCGAAGGAGTGAGACTCCTAGAGACAGAGCAGGGTGGAGTGGCCACGGGCGGAGGGAGCTGGGCAGGAGTGGGGGCTTCTAGAGACCTGCTGTTCACGGTCCTGCTGGAGTCAACTGTCCGGCACACGTGACATTTTATTAAAATATTTTATTTTCACGGTGCAGGTGGACACCATCTCTCTATTTCATGTTTATGTGGTGCTGAGGATGGAACCCGGTGCCTCCGCCTGCCAGGCCAGCGCTCTCCCGCTGAGCCTCACCCCAGCCAGCCCAACAGTTTTAAGAGTTAGATTTCGTGGTGTGTGTGTGTGTGTGTGTGTGTGTGTGTGTGTGAGAGAGAGAGAGAGAGAGAGAGAGAGAGGGGTGGGGGGACAGAGAGAGACAGAGACACAGAGACAGACAGACAGACAGACACTAGGGTTTTCTAAAACGACAAGTTCAGGAAAGCGCTCAAGCCACCACCAGTGGGCTTCCTGGAGGAAGTGGCAGCTAGTCTTCCCCCGGGAGGCGATGGCAGGGGGAGGCGAGGGGACGGGCAGGTGCGGTGGTGGGTGGTGCCCCGGGCACGTGGGGCGCTGGCGGGGTCTCCTGGGGGTTAACGGGGAGCCAGGCGGCTGCGGGGAGTCGGAAGGGTCTGGAGCCCGCGCTGGAGGCCAGAGCCGCCATCCTGGGCTCCCAGCCCAGCGCCACCTCCTTCCTGCAGGAGGCCGGTGCCGGGGGTGACCCCCTGGGGCAGCGGGTGACCGGCGGGGCGGGACGCACTTTCTCCTGCTCCCTCTCCTTGTGCCTGGGTCTTTGTGGTTCGGTG